CCCCAAAACCCCAAAACCCCAAAACCCCGAGTAATAAGTTGAGTTCTAGTTCTGGAATATAAAATTAACAAATAAATGACTACATTAAAGTAATTTGGTACTTTGTAAGAATTCAATTTGATTATATAAAACTCGTCACATTTATACCTTATTTTCAAAGTTAACAAGTGATGATACTATCACAAGGCCATTTATCTCAAGCACTTTGATCGGTTTTGAAGCTGTTACTATCAGGATCATCTGATTCAGTTACCTGATAGTTTGACATCATATTATTGTTGCTGTTTTATTAGGCCTGATTGAAGAGATTCTAGTGAAAACCGAATCTTTGAAGCCTTAACTATCTGATTAAATTGTTGTTCATCCCTGTATCATTCATCTCATGTTGAGACTCAGTTAGTACATAGGTATCATTTCTGTTGATATTTAGATTGCTTGTGTTTTGAGCGTTACTCTCCAGGTTTGCTTGAAACATATTATGACTGTACTCTGGAGGGTTATACTCAAGAGGGAATTAAGGTCTGAAGTAGAGGTTTTATCTTCGTAATACAGATTACCTTCTGGGCATTTCTATTCCAGTATTTTCCATTTAATGTCTCGCAAGCGATCTTAAATTATCCTCATTCAACTCTGCTCTATTTTCAGTCTCACTTGCATATAGGTCGTATTCAAAGCTATCCCGATTTCTTAAGATTGTACTTACTCTCTGTAAGCCACTGATGCTTGGCTATTGACTCATCATATTCATAATCTGACTTTATCTTGGCTAGCGCATACTCTAGAGTTCCTCTTAGAAATGCTCACAGACTCTATCCTTGCAGTTTGGACAAGTGTTTCTTCTCTAGAACCATTCTTTGATACACTCTGAATGGAATCTATGCAAGCATGGAAGTATCATGTACTCTTCTTATAGCTCATATGAACTCATACAGATAGTGCAAGACTTATTTTCCTCTGAAAAGTTTTACAGATTATTTTGAGTGAATTTAGAAATCGGCAACATTCCTACTAGTCTATCTGGGACACTTTGGACAACATCTTCATCTAAGTTAATGAGTGCTTCATAGTCGTCAAAGTGTTCTTCACTGTCTGGGTCCTCACTGCCAATATTGTCTGAAGAGTCCCCAAATAAATGATTGTTTCTTCTTTCCATCAACATAATATGACCCCTCTCTTATTGCCTTGCTCTACTTATTAACTCTCTTACTCTATCAAAGTTGAGAGCTCTATCGTTTTAATCTACAGATTATGGGAAATTTTCGTCAGTGTCTAAGAATCTGTTGCCTCTAACCATATTTTAAAACAATCTGGGTCCTCTTGCATTAGAGCCTCTATTGTTCAAGACATTGTTGTTTAAATTGACATTGTTATTCAGTCTGCTATTCTACAAAAACTACCAGTTTCTTCTCTCATAGTTGAGCATGTCCAGCTCATCTCCAAAGACACCATTCATCCCAAAACCTATTTTAGCTTCTTCAGTAGCTAATGGCTGTTAAAACCTTCTATCTCTAGCATCTGCTCTGATGTTGTTAATCCTGCTAATACCAATGTCGAATGAGTTCTCTTGTTCTTCATCTTCTGTATTATTATTAATAAAATTGATACGGATTTCTGACGGTTGATCAAATCTATTATCTCTGATTCTAGCTTCATTGTTATCATCTAACTCATCGTCACTAGCATTTTACAAGTTATGCATTCTCATATCTAGCCTACCCGTCAATTCGTCTAGCTGATGCTCAGAACTTAGCTTCATCATTGCTTGGTCTAATTCTCTGATGTCTTCATCAAGGTTCCCTAAAGATGGATCATCTCGAAACATGCCCTCGAATATAAGAGGACTGTCATGCCTAGATCTTTTTTCTTGTTAGAGCTCTCTTATGCCTCTAAAGCCGCCTGCACTGTATCTCATGCCGTTATCAAAGATATCTATAGCATTTTAACTTAGTCCTCTGAGTCCATTTATTCTTGATAGCATATTATTATTGTTCTCCTAAAAGGTATATCTACCACTGGGAAGTATGGAGGGTTTTATCTCTTCTCCATCACTATTGACTGTATCATTCTATTAAGAGTTTTACTCACCAATGTCTATATAAGATCTATCTTCATCGAGTAGCAAGTTACTTTAGCGTCTGTTCCATCGAGCCATATAGCCTGAAATTGAAAGTTTTGAAGTGTCTTTGTCCATTAGTCGATTTTCATTTGTAATCTTGTCAAAGCCATTTATATTTTCTTCTTGACCAATATAATGGCATGAGCCGTCATCAGCTTCTTCATTTTCTTCAACGAAGGCTTCTTCTTAATCAGGACCTAGCTAGGACTAATACCTATGCAAATGGCCAGTATCCTTATTAGACTGCAACGATTTGTATTCCTTTTCCTAATTTTTAGTTCTATAGTTTGATTAGATCTTCATCAGGATCTCACAAGAGCTATCAGATTTTCTCAGATCTATCTTTCCTTCTTCGAAATCATTTTCATTCTCATCTTCATCATTCGAAAGGTCCTCGTAGCACCCAACATTATACGAGAATTTATTGTTGTTATCAATTTCATCATCCTCTGATAAGTCATAGTGATTGTAATACTCTGAGTTTTGCTGATTATCATCAAGATCATTTTTCATATGGATGTTATATCTATTGAGATCTAGATTCTAAGCATCAGAATCTCTTTTGTCTTCTAGATTTGTTGTTGATGGAACAGCTGACGGATTGTTCAATGGCTGATTAGGTCTTGTGCTTTTATCAAATTATCTAGCAATTAGTGAAGTAGGCTGCATTTACTAATTTTGAACTGTGTTGTTTGATGATTACTATTACTATCTCTCGCTCTCCTACCGGTAATTACTATTCTCATCATGTTTTTATCTATTCGAATCAGGAAGGAGTTTAAATCTGATTGTATCTTGATTTGCTAAATTGTTAATTCCAGTTAAACCATTCTGATTTTTGTGTAGACTTTGATTAGTTATACTATCTTCATTATCTCTACTATATCTATCATTTTCATCTAACTCTGCTTGATGATTATTATTGTTGCTATCGCGCACATCCTCTTAATGGTACCTATTATTGATCATACTATTGTTTGCTGTTGGATTATATTGACGCCCTTCTTAGTTATTGTTCTGTCTCTATAAGTTTTGAATTAGTAAATCTCCATCTTCCCTGCTGAATAGATTATGCATTCTACTTTGAATATCATCACTGTCATAAGAGAGAGAGTTTTATTCACATTAATTTGTTCTATCATTAATATTGCTATATCTGCTGTTAATCCCGCCTTTGAATCTCCTCTAACTTAGTTAAGAGGCAAGATTTTCATCATTTTTAGTCTGACAAGCTGTCTCATGCTAGTCCAAGTCACTTAATAATACAAGTACCTTACATATTTGGCATTCAACTCTCATCTAGTCTTCTTCAAGCTATGCCATTCGTTACTAACTGCTAACTACATTTTTGCATTCCATAGTATTAGATTGATAAGAAACCAAACTGTTCTAGTTTTACTTAAGATTATTTACTACTCTTGGATCTCTTATATAATTCTCATAATCTATAAGTGAGGACTTTTCCTCTTCTTCCTCATGATCAATTATTGGTGCCACATCCTAGTCTTGATTATTTGAGGGCTAAACACTCGGCTAAGGTTTGTTCTGCACTTAAGATGGCAAATTGTCGGACTAATGCCTTTATCTTTGGTTTAAAATATGAAATTTTTTTTGTCCTTTTGATTCTTCTAGTTATTACTGTACTTTTATCTGTTGGTGTTGAAATTGCTGTTACTGCTATCCTAGGCTACTTTCCATGATTAAATGTTTATTACTCCAGTTAGTCATGGTTGAACTTGGCAATGCCAATTTTTTATTGGCTTAGACAATTACCTAGTTATCTCCTTGCCTTCTGATCATAGAATTAGCTGTATTGATACCATTATTCTAGTTCACAAGCTTTTTAGAGATGCTTTCTCCGTTCTCATTTTTCTTTATAATATTAAGTATGTTTTGCTTGTATTCTGGGATATGAGAAACATTCTAACGTGTACTTGATTAATTCGATACTAAGTTACTATTAGTATTTTGGGTGATATTCTAGATTATTTTAGAATGAATTGATATATTATTGGGTTGATGCAGATTTGCTTGCTTGAATTCAACTATTTATTTGACTCTCTGTGAAGTCTGATCAATTTAATTATTCGAAGTTCTCAAATGCTGTTAATTTATGTTAGAGTTATTAGCATTTTGATTATGATTTAATTAATTTTTAATACTTATGAAATCATCCTCTGATCCATTGTTAAAGATTGGAGAGGCATGAGATTGCAAATCGATATCACTTTTATTTCTGGCGTCTTTGTTTACACCAGAGGAATTTTTACTTTGCTTGCTTTTCTTGCGAATGAGTTTAATTAACTTTTAGCCACTCATATTTGAGCCAATTTATTATTGCTGAGCAGGAATAGGAGAAAAAGACATATTCTAAATTACACTCTGCTGCTAAAGCTAATTTTACTACTGCTATCGCTATTATTATTATTACAAAATCTCATTAATCCTGCTCTCCTATGTTCTCAGTACTCTATTTTCTGACAAAAAATTAAGAATGCTAATTCAGCTTACGCATAGATAACTATAGAGTTTGAGTGTTGTTAGTCTTAGGCATTATGACTTTGTTGGGATCTGCTCTGAAGGTTTCGAAACTTGGTCGATAATAGCCATCGTCGGAATCATTCGAGTCATTCATTGTTTTATTTAAATTATTAATTCTACAATTCTACAAATCTCTCACATTCTAATAAATCACGGCACCTCGGGGTTTTGGGGTTTTGGGGTTTTGGGGTTTTGGGG